TCACTCTTTTATAAATGGATCAATTTATGGACTATTCACATGTCTTTGCACCTGTAGTTATAGATTATTTATAAATAATAAAGTTTATCAACACCCGGGGAAGTTGCCATTTTATGATACAAAATTCGTGCTTTTATTTGTACTTTTTTTGTTCAGTTTTCAAAAGTATATCTTATTTGCTCAATTTTACAATCAATGGAGTTTTTAGGATAATTTTAATGTTATTTTATAAATAATTAGCTTGTTTTATATCTAATGTTTTTCGATAAAAAATAAATTAGCACTAATTCATAAAGCAACTTATAGAAACTAGCATAAATTAAATTAATTTTTCTTATGTAAAAATTATATTTTGGAAATTCATTAAAACTTTCCATAAGCTATTTTAAAAATATATTAATTTCATATTTCAGATTCATAAGTTTTAGGTTTTCAGTATTAGATTCACTACACTCAAAGTATCCCTAAAGATAAAATCATAAAAAAGAAAATTAAAGAAAATATATATAACAAAATTCTTGGTATTAATTAGTGTTTCTGATTATATTCAACTAGATTTAAATGTTCAATAAAGCCGTCTACATTACTTACTTTAGGCAAATCTATAACTTTTAGTCTATGAGTTACAATAAGCCTACAGTTATAGTACTTTGGGTTTCCGCCGTATTCTCTACTATAAAGCAATAGTAAATAATTCCATTACTTTAAATAAATTGAGAGCTTTATCATTCATTTATGATTAAATAAACACATCTATTCATAGTATTTATTTTATTAATTGAGTAGTGATATAATTTACTTGTATGACATTTGACAATAAAAGTCATATAAAATTACTTTAATTAATTCTAACATATAAGATACTTTGTAACTTATGATTTTTAAAAATAATATTTGAGTAGTAGAGAATTGTGAAAATCTTTATCATGAATAGATACATTAAAGTCTATTATATTTATAAAAGTATATTAATACCGATGTTACTAGTCAACATGAATGATTGTTTTTACATAAATGGCACTTTGCACCTATATTGTTATATAGTAGAGCTGATTATAAATACTGTATAAAATGGTTTATTAAGGCATATACTGTATGAATATTTGTTTAATGATTGATTAATTGATTGACTGGTGGGACTCACGGGTTTGCACTGGAATGTGGTTCCAATGATGGATGTGCCGTCGTCTAAGTCATGAAATTTGGTGTCATTTCTTACAAAGAGGTGATGCGCGGGACACAGACAGTGGATGTGATTAGTGTTCATAAGAGTCCTCATCGTCAACATCGATGTCTCTAAATAAGTGGTGTAAACGATCTCTTCTTTGCCGCAATAGTTCAGTCTCGG